GGTTGTTAACACAAATCAAATAGAGTTTGAATACATGTAAAGCTATCTCCTATAATTGAGGAATACGTACATTTCCAATGTGCATTTGAAAATGTGCACTAATCACAATTGCTCTTGCACGTTAGGGATTTGAGGTAATGGGAAAATAACCAACCCTCCATGATACATGGGAGTTGGCTGCCATTGCCGCTATAAGTACAAGAATTCCCTGCTCACAGATATAGTGTTATGCGATATAGGATCTATCACTATATGAATATAAAGGTCTCCTAGCTAGTAGAAGAAGTTCTTGGGTTGCAACAATGTCTTCAATAGGTAAGTGTTCTAGTCCTATACCTCAATATGTGATTTAGGGTTCATGTTGTTGAATTAGTGGCCAAGTGGCCAAAAGCATATAATAAAAAATTATGGACATAATGATGTGGAAACATCATTATGAGGAGACAAATGATTATGTTTCCTTTTGTTTTGGCTTTTTCAAAGGTAGAAAATTCAGCTTTTGTCCCTCACTTGTTGCCTTTTTGGAAATGAGAAAAACGGAAGGAGAGTTGTGAAAGGTGCAGAAAATAGTTGTAAAAGGTGCAGAAAATAGAGAGCATTTTCTGAAGGTAGTTGTAGAGTGCACCAGAAAAACAGAGAAGAAAAAATAGAAGTGCAGCAGCCCCTCTTTGAAGAGAAGAAGAAAGTGCTCATCTCTTTGGTTAGTAATCATCCACCAAGGTAGTTGTTGTTGTAATAGCTTTGAGCTTTGTATAGAGAGGAAATTATTCATTATATTTCTCTCTATTTGTTTCTTTGGTGTGTGAGAGCTATTGGTTGTATTGGGGTTTGGGTTGTGAGCTTACCAACACTTTGTAAACTTCCATTTGGTTGATAGTGGATTATTGGGTGAGCTCCTACTGCTCCGAGGACGTACTCCAGTTACACTGACTGTTGAGGAACCTCGTTAAAATCTTGGTGTCTTTTATATTTTGTTCTTGCATTCCATTTGATATATTTCCTATGGGTTAGCTTGAGTTGGTTCCAACGGGTTTGGTGCTATCCTAGCACAACACATGTTAAGATCATATGAGTTCCAACACAAGGTTGTACTGAATTTCTCAATCAATATTAAGAGTTTGCCCACTGATAGTCTCCCTAATATTATGTGTTCAATATCTAGGGTTCATTCACCCTCCAGCGTTGGAACATCATTTTTATCTGATTACAACCCGCTGATTGATATGATTAAGTTCAGTACCTTGTGTGTATCATTTCTTTTAGTTGATTGAGTTGTTAGAAAAAGTGAAAATTACTGATAGTGGTTTGCCACTATGCTCCTAAATGTATCAGGAAAAGAAAGGAGTGGGATGTATACGAACCCATCGTTGATCTTCTATCTACCGTGGAAGTGGAGGCCCTTGAAGTGAAAGAAGAAAGGATTGCTCGGTGAATTATAAAACAGCTGCGATGGTTTAAATTAAGTTGTGTAGGGTGTAAGAACCATGTTGAGTTGTCCAGTGTTGTGTTTCGAATCACAGTTAGAAGGATGTTACTTGCATGGCAAGTAATCAGCCTTCAATGTGATTAGCTGATTGATTGGCATGCATCGTGGAATTGTTAGCTCATTAGTTGACTATTGGAAAGACCTAATTAAGGAAGACCTAATTAAGGAAGATATCACGTACATGCCTTGGTAGGACAATATGATACGCCCCGATCCCGATATTCCCCGAATACCAGGATAGGCACGTGCTGGCCGACACCCGAGGGTGACGAAAGCCATTTATTGATGCAATTGCTGAAAATAAAGGATAACTAAGACTTATAAATATAAAAGAATAAGCATTTAAGGAACGTGTTCAAAGCATACGACTAACTAGAATACTAAAAAAAACGATATAAAATTTGATGAACAAAAGAATGGGTCCCACACCAAAAGAACTCGAAGACGCCGATGCGGAAGTGCCTGGATGCGGAAGTGCCTGAAGGGGGCGCAAAACAAACATGAGTGGACCAAGTTGATATATATATATAATAAAACAGTTATCAACGTACTAACCCCCAGGTTTATGAAAACACATATATAATGATAAACGTATGTTTTCCGAAACCTAGCATGATGTGCAGTATCTCAAATCATAACTCATATATAATAATCACTAGTGAATTGTCCGATAACCCCCAGGCCCCATGCCGGCTCCCAATCTCTGAGCAGACAGTCAGAGGAAAATACACTTCAGGCCCCATGCCAGCTCCCCGTCCCTGTGCTAAATAGCCAGAGGAAACACACTTCAGGCCCTATGCCAACACCAAACCGTCGCCCGGGACGGACCGGAATCTATCCCTACGTCCCGTAGCGGAAATGACCACTAGGTAAGTACAAAACCATTGAACATATATATATTGAAAAACAACTTCAGAGTATAAAGTCATCCATCATCTATACTATAAAGAGGTGTTCGAAACTTGTTCTAGTATCATATCGTCATCCATCAGATATTCTATAAGAACACGGGTTATAGGAAAAATAGTAATAATTCAAAGTAGCCTCAGTAAGCATGTTATCTCACAAAACATTTCATAAAACGTAATCATCAAATCATGCTTTTCATGTATGCATTTCTACTATTAAAACATGTATTTAAGAAGGGGTCCACTCACAGTACTTAGTTGCCAAAAGTTGCGCCACTAGCGAAGACAGAACGTCACAATAATTGCCCCTAAGCACATAAATGGTACAATAAATAAAACTATATAATAGAAATTGAATTTGGGAAAACGGACATTGGAAACGGATCCAGAACGTCGAATTACCCTAAGAAGGGTTTGAATTAAATAAAATAGGGAATTTGGAATTGAATGGGTTTAGGGTTTTAAAGGATTTGGGTTATAAAGGGTTTAGGGTGAAAATGGGTGATTTGGGCCTAAGCCCAAACACACACACGCACCACACAAACACACACATGCACGGCATGCACATGCATGCAAGCATGCATATCACACACGTACACATGCACTTATACACACACACACAAACCACAAAGGCCTTAAGGCCTCACACAAGGACCGGGCTTTAAGCCCTTTCACTCAAAACCGGCCCAAGGCCCTTTGGGTTGCTGAAAATAAATAATTAAATAGAATAAAAACGGGCTGGGCTAGGCAGGGAAGGCCCAAAGCCTTGGGTTTTGGTGGGTCGCCGGATCCAATGGGAGAGAAGGCCGGAAATTCGATAATAGGAAGTATTGGTAGAAACTCTTAGGGGGTGTTTGTTTTCCCTCACTAAAGTTCACTGGACTGGACTGGACTAAAGGTTAGTCCAGTCCCGTGTTTGTTTCCCATAGGGCTTAGAGTTAATGAGACTAGCTCTCACTCGTCCCGACTAAAACAGGGCCTAGCCGGTCTTTGCTAAGCCCCCCAAAAACCATGGGATTGCTAATCCCGTCTCCAGAACTTGCATAGGACGATCGCATGCAGCAAGTCTTATGAACTACAAATTTGCAAGAATGCTTCTGGGCGACTCCGTTTGCCAACCCATGTCTAGATCTAAAACACAGCCCTACCCACTGCCTAAATCTCAACACCAAAATTCAAAAACATATATGCAAAACGATAACAACAACAATCCCAATAGCAAAATTCTTCCTTATTCCCGAATATTCCCAGAAAATTTCTAAATTTTTTTCCTTTGCCCCAGAAAATTTCGGAAAGAATGGATAGAGAAGGGGAGAGAGTAGCTTTAGGACAAAGAGAAATGGAGAGACCGAGAGGGAGGGGAGAGTAGCACGGGGGACGATTTGCAAGAAAAATGATTTGAAGGATGTTGTCTTGCAGGAAAAAAGATGGAGAAAAGAAGTGATGGGGAACGAAACTAAAGAGGAAGAAAAGGGAAGAACTCTCCAGAGAGAGCAGTGGAGTGTCTGGCTGTGTACTTTGGAAATAAAAAAGAAAAAGCTTGATTTAGTAATAAAATATTATTGAATTAATAATAAAATATTATTAGATGTGTATTATATAATATAATATTATAGTTATTAATTATCCTATTTTTTAGCCCGACGCTGCACCAAACGTTTCACTAAGCTAGTCCAGCTTAGTCTAGTCTAAGCCAGTTCAGCTTAGTCCCTGAAGCTAGTCCAGTCCGATGCAACAAACGCACCCTTAAGAGCTATAATAAGGATGTCCCTGCTCTCTCTAGACCATGTTCCATTACTCGAGCAATCCCTATTACTTGCTGGAACTCTTCTGCTAGAAGAGAGGAGAAGACACCCTACAGTTTACTTAACCAAATGGCTCCCATGGGTGCAGGTCTGTTTACTTTCATTCTTAATGTATCACTGCATATAATATATATATATATATATATATATATATATATATATATATATATATATATATATATATTCTACTTGTGCTGCTGGTAACACGTTGGAACTGATACATTTTACATTTGGTACCAGAGCCAAACAATATGTCTGGCATCCTTTTATGAAGCTTATTCAATCACTCAAACACATGATATCGAAATCCAATTACTGATATCTGTGTTAACTACTATATGCTGCTGATATGTGTATGTATATACATATATACAGACACTGTAAATCATAACTAGAATTCAAAAATTTGTTATTAAGATAAGACAACTCATGGAATTCGAAATTGCAGGATAACATGCTAACATGCTCATCTGCTCAAAAGTGTTAGACTTGTAATCACCTTCTTATGACAAAATACTGGTTTATAGTCATTGTTGAAAATGATTCTGCTTAAAAGTGTTTCATTGGTTCTGAGAGACTTTAAACCAATGTATAGTAGGACATGGAATTGACAAGAACGCATAAATTTCATCTGCTCAAAAGTGTTGAAATTATATGTATTTTCCCTTGTATTTTACGTACTGGCTATGCAAAACTAGTGTGATTAGTCTCGGTCTAAAGATGATTTTGAATTGCACGAACTCATGAAGTTGGGAATTGGTTAAATTATAACTAATTCTCTGATATCTGTCAATGTGAAACATGAACAACACTAATGTCTTGGGAATCTGTATTGGTGCAGAAATGACCTCACTCAACTTCACTAACATTGAAGCCTTGAATGGTTCCAATTACAAGAAATGGAAGGAGGACATTGAGATTGCATTGGGACTCATGGATCTCGATATTGCTATTGATGAAGATCAACCTCCAGCACTTACCCCTCAAAGCACTGCAGAAGAGAAAACCAAGCATGCTAAATGGCATAAGGCAAACAAGATGGCACTGGCAATAATGCGAAAAGCAATCAATGAGACTGTCAGAGGTGGAATTCCGAAATGTGACACAGCCAAAGAACTGCTTGACACCATAGGAAACAAGTTCAAAGAATCTGGGAAAGCTGAGACTGGCAGCCAACTCACCAAACTCACAAGCATGAAATATGATGGCTCATGGAGTGTAAGAGAACACATGCTGAAAATATCAGACATTGCACTAAAGCTCAAGGATCTCGAAGTACCAATGACAGATGAGTTTCTTGTTCATTGGCACTCAATTCCTTGCCCGCTCCATATGGTCGGTTGAAAGTCTCGTACAATACTCAGAAGGAAAAATGGAGCATGAATGACTTAATTTCCATGTGTGTGCAAGAAGAGGAAAGACTCAAGGCTGACAAGGAGGAAAATGTGAACTTAGTCATGCCGACAAGGGTAAGAAGGTTGCCACCACTGTCCTGAAAACTTTGCCTGCTGGTAAGAAAGGAAAGAACTCAAACTTTTCAGCTAAAAGTTCTAACCCCTCTAAAGGATCTCATGATTTCAAAACCAAGAGTCATTTTAATGCACCTGCCACTGATAAACCTTGTTACTTTTGCAAAGAAGTTGGTCACTTGACAAAAGATTTTGCTGGTTTCAAACATTGGTTAATTAAGAAAGGTCATATTATAAATATTTTTGTTTGTGTAGAGTCTAATTTAGTTTTTATCCCACCAAAAAGCTAGTGGTTTGACACTGGCAGCTCTATTCACATTACCAATTGTTTGGGATTTACAAAACTAATGGAGACAAATAAAGCTAATTACAATGCCTTTGTGGGAAATGGGAGCAAAGTGGCAGTAGAGTCAATTGGAAGTGTCAAGTTGCAGTTGTCTTCTGGTTTTATTTAGGTCTTAAATCCGGTTCATTTTGTACCTTCAATGAGGAGGAGTTTGATTTCAGCTTCTAAACTAGTTGAGTCTGGTTTCATATTTACTGGTGACAGTGAGAGTGTCAAATTTTTCCTTTCAAATAATAAAGATGTTTTGCTTAGTCATGCTTTTCTTAGAACTGATATGTGGCAATTAGAATGTGCTTATGAGAATGAATGCTTCAATGTAAACGTTGCTGGTTCTAAAAGAGTGCTCACTGATGAAACATCCCCCATGCTTTGGCATAAGAGGCTGGGGCACATTTCTAGAGAAAGAATCATCACACTAATGAAGCAAAACATGTTGCCACAGTTGAATTTTGATAATTTTAATGATTGCATAGACTGTTTTAAGGGCAAACTCACTAATGCCAGAAAAATGCATGCCATAAGAAGTCAAAATTTGCTTGAAATTATTCACACTGACATCTGTGGTCCATTCCCAAATAAAACTATCCCTGATAACACGTTCTTTGTAACATTCATTGATGATTTCTCACGATATTGTTACCTGTTTTTAATCTTACACAAGTCTCAAACTTTGGAGTGTATTAAAATTTTCAAATTAGAAGCAGAAAAACACTTGAAAAACAAATAAAAATAGTGAGATCCAATAGAGGTGGTGAGTACTTTGGCAGGTACACTAAAAAGGGACAACAACAGGGACCCCTTGCATCCTATCTCTCCCAAGAAGGTATAATGGCACAATATACAACCCCTAGGAATCCACAACAAAATGGTGTTGCAGAAAGGAGAAATAGAACACTCAAAGACATATGGTGAGATCCATGTTTTCAAGATCATAGTTGCCTATTTTCTTGTGGGGTGAAGCTCTCAAGACTGCAAACTACATTGTTAATCGTGTGCCAAGCAAGTCAGTGCATCTTACACCTTATGAACTTTGGATTGAAAGAAATGTTGATTATTGACTCAAACAAAGTAGTCTAAAACCAACAATTAATTTCGGCTACTTTTGTGGTCAAAATTGTTGGATGGCATGCTACATGTGGGAAACAAAATACATGCAATTGTGCCTAACTCTTTTTGACTTGATGTTAGGCCTTTGGCCATTGATGTCTTTGAGAAGCTTTTCTTTAGCTATAAAAGGAGAGAAAGGTGTAGCTCATAAGCATGGAGAAGTAGAGGAGAACAAGGAAGAGAGAAAAATAGCAAGAAGCCATTCGGCATAGAGAAGAATTTTCTCAAATTGTCTTGCTTTGTATTTTTGGTTTTCTCTTCCTATTGTAAGTGTGAGAGCTTGGGTTATTTGGGTCTTTGGGAAATTGAGTGATAAACACTATTGTATGTTCTCATTGATTATAGTGGAATACTCCGTTGTCTCCAAACTGGATGTAGGCATTGCCGAACCAGTATAAATCTTGGTGTTCTTGTTGATAGTGGTTTTATTCTGTTCTGTTTAACTATTCACTTACAGTCGTATGCCGCTTCCGCACAACAAGTGGTACCAGAGCCCAGTTCCGTGAATAGTGTTGGCGCTACAGTTCCGTGAACAGTGAACTGCTATAGTATCTGTGAACAGTATTATACATGTGAACAGTGCAGTATTTGTGAACAGTGCCGAGTAGATGGCTGGAGATAAAGATGAATCTGTAAAGAGGGGGTCAGCATCGTCTTCGTCTACATCTAATAGATATCCAACTACTACTACAAGGTTAGAGGTTGATAAATTCAATGGCTCTAATAATTTTGGTATGTGGCAATGTGAAGTTATGGATGTGTTGTATCAACAAGAGTTAGATATGGTTCTGGAAGATAAACCAGAAGATATTGATGACAAGCAGTGGACGCGAATTAATCTTCATGCTTGTGCTGCTATTCGATCGTTCCTTGATAAGGAGTTGAAATACCCGTATATGAAGGAAACTTCTGCTAAGGAGTTATGGACGAAATTGGAGGAGAAGTATATGACCAAGAGCGCAGAAAATCGTCTCTTCTTGAAGAAGCGACTCTTCCGATTTCAGTATTGTCCAGGTATCTCTATGCACGAACACCTCAATGATTATAATAAAATACTTGCTGATTTAGCAAACCTTGATGTGAAAATTCCTGACGAGGACAAGGCACTATGTTTGTTAAATTCATTGCCTGATGATTATGATCATTTGACAACTACTCTGTTGTATGGAAAATCCGAGGTGAAACTTGATGAGGTGTCTGCGGCATTGGTGAATCATGAGTGTCGTAAGAAGGAACTGAAGACTCACAATTCACAAACCGAGGCATTTGTTACAAGGGGTCGAACAGAGGAAAGAAAATCTGGGAAGCGGGGAAAATCTCGTTCAAAGTCACGAGGGAAGTTTCCTGGTAAAGATGAATGTGCTTTTTGTCGCCAAAAGGGGCATTGGAAGAAGACTGCCCCAAATTGAAGAACAAAGAGAAGGAGAAAGCAGGTTCTGAAGCAAATATTGCAAAATCTGGAGATGATGATGATTTCGAGTTTGCTTTGGCTAGTTCATATGCTAATGGTCACTCAAATGAGTGGATTTTGGATTCAGGTTGCACCTATCATATGTGTCTCATTCGGGAATGGTTTTCTAATTTCGAGGAGCTAGATGGTGGAGTTGTTTTGATGGGTAATAATAATGCCTGCAAAACACAAGGGATAGGCAAAATCTGTTTGAAGATGCATGATGGAACAGTCAGAGAATTAAGTGATGTTCGGTATGTACCGGATATGAAGAAAAATCTCATCTCACTGGGTGCATTGGAATCCAAGGGTCTCAAGATCACCATGGAGGGTGGAGTTCTTAAAGCTGTGTACGGGGCACTGGTGGTGATGAAAGGTACAAGACGAAATAACTTGTATTTCTTGCAGGGGAATACAGTTATTGGTAGAGCAGCTGTCACCGAAGCTGCTGACGCAGATAGCTCAGATACCACGAGGTTATGGCATATGCGTCTTGGGCATGCTGGTGAAAAAGCGTTGCAAGGATTGGTGAAGCAAGGCTTATTGAAAGGTGCAAAGGCATGCAAATTGGAATTCTGTGAGCATTGTGTGTTGGGTAAGCAAACTAGAGTAAAATTTGGCACTGCTATTCACCACACTAAAGGCATTCTTGATTATGTTCACACTGATGTTTGGGGACCTTCCAAGAATGCATCTTAGGGAGGTAGCCATTATTTTGTCTCCTTTGTTGATGACTTCTCTAGAAGAATATGGGTGTACACCATGAAGCGTAAAGATGAAGTCTTGAAGATATTCCTGAAGTGGAAAAAGATGATTGAAACGCAAAGCGGTCGAAAGATCAAGACTCTCAGATCAGACAATGGGGGTGAATATAAGTCTGATCCTTTCTTGAAAGTTTGTCAAGATGAGGGTATTGTGAGGCACTTCATGGTTAAGGAGACACCGCAACAGAATGGGGTGGCGGAGCGCATGAACCGTACTTTACTTGAGAAAGTTCGGTGTATGTTGTCTAATGCTGGATTAGGCAAGGCATTTTGGGCTGAGGCACTCACTTATGCAAGCCATCTCATTAATCGATTGCCAGCTGTTGCGAACGAGGGCAAAACGCCCATAGAGGTATGGTCTGGTAAACCTTGTACTGATTACAAGTTTTTACACATATTTGGTTGTCCTGCTTACTATCATGTCAGAGAAGGCAAGTTGGATCCAAGAGCAAAGAAAGCTCTATTTATGGGCTTTAGCACTGGCGTGAAGGGATACCGACTTTGGTGTCCAGATGAGAAGAAATTTGTTGTAAGCAGAGATGTGACTTTTGATGAGGCTGCTATGGTTAATCAGAACAAGCATGAAGGTGAAACTAAAGCGACCGAGACCATGAGTAGCTCAAAGCAGGTGGAGTTACTGAAGACTCCAGTTGTTCCAGTAAGGTCTGATGTTTCAAACACTAGTCCTACAGTTAATTTTGATGATGAGGACGAGGATGATGAAGATGAGGCACCTACCCAAGAGCCTCCACAGCAACAAGACTATATTGCAACCAGAAGATCGAGAAGGGAAATCCGAAAGCCTGCTCGATTTACTGATATTGTGGCATATGCACTTCCCGTTATTGAAGATGATATTCCATCCGCCTACAAAGAAGCTGTCGTGAGTTCAGAGTGCGAGTTGTGGAAGAAATCTATGGATGAGGAGATGAAATCTCTTCATAAAAATAAGACTTGGAAGCTGGTTCAGTTACCAAAGGGGAAGAAAGCAATTGGTTGTAAATGGGTGTATGCCAAAAAGATGGAATCTTTGGGAAAAGACAATGTAAGATTCAAAGCCAGATTGGTAGCTAAAGGCTACGCTCAGAAGGAAGGCATTGACTACAATGAGGTATTTTCTCCTGTAGTAAAACATTCTTCTATTCGTATTTTGTTGGCTTTGGTTGTGCAGTTTGACCTTGAGTTGGCCCAACTTGATGTCAAGACTG